CACAAATATAAATATATATATATATATATATATATGTTTTTATTTCTTTTTAATTTAAATTTTTAGTTATTTTGTACATTAAGTTAAAATTTATGAAAATAAGAATTTTTTCTTGGGAACTAGCTGAATTAAAATGTGGTTTTTAAAATATTTTATTTTATTTCAGTTAACATTTACCTTATTTCAAATAACAAAAATATTTTTTGTTTGTTTTAGTTTTAGTTAACTATAATAATTCTGTTACATTTAAATATATACAAGTTTCAAAAGAAATGACATTAAAATATATTTTGGTTTACCATAAATGTTTGTCAGTATATTCTTCAGTACACATTATGCATATTTCAAAAACAATATAAGTTATGAAATTACATAGAGAGATCACTAAAGTTCAACTAACTGCATTTAACATACATTTAAATTATAATACATTTTCATTTAATGGAGATTAACATGCAATTAAGTGTGAAAAACATTAAATTGAGTTTGTGCTTAAAGTTTATTATATCTGTAATGCATACTATTTTTAAAGTATGCTGAAGTGTACTTCTTATTCACAAGGCTGCCTGAATGGTTTACATCTTTTGGGCTATTATTAAATACGCGCTATTATTTGTAAGTCGCTTTTGATAAAAGCATCTGCTAAATGCTTAAATGTAAGTAATTACCCACAATGCCTTGCACTACAGAAGAGGAGGACTTTGTGAGCTCTTTTTTAGGAGATCAGTGACACTCACTCTGTTCGGTTGACAAGGTGTCCTGGGACAGCGGCTCAGAGTCCAGGAGGACCTGAGGGAGACCCACCATCCTCACACCGGGGCCACGCCCCCCGACGACATCACCGCCCATGACATCATCGCTCATCACCATGGCGTTGAGAGCCACGCCCCCCACGGCGAGCTCGTAGTCCAGAGGAAGTTCATTCAGACACTCGGCACTCGACTGCGCGCGAACAGAATTACACCGCATTCAAACAACATAGAGTTAAACGCCATAGAATTACCCTACAGCCATATTAAAGCAATAAGCCGTGCATTTCAGTGACTTTACCATGCTTAAAGACATTACAATTAAGCATTAAACTAAACTACTAAAAACATCAAATAAACTTTCATAACTTGAAAATAAACTTATAAAATAAAATATAAAAAGCTTAAACTTATTGTATTTTAGCTAGTTACCAAGGCAACATTTTATTTTCATTTAGTTTAACTTAATTATATATCAATAAAAACTAAACATATAATATTTATATATATATATATATATATATAAAAATTACGAAAACACAACAAAAGTACTAACACTTTAACTTAAATTAAAATGAAAACAAGGCATAATTTTTCATTTAGTCTAACTTCATGTATTAGCATAACTAAAACTGAAATAAAAATGTGTTAAAATTACACATATATAAAAAAAAAAACTAATAAAAATGTCAAAATCACAACAAAATTCTCTAAAATATAAACAGTATAAATATAAAAATAATTCAAAATATAAAAAAATATTTATAGTATCAGTGATACTAAAATAACACTCATTAAGGCACAATATGATGTTTTAAGATAAATAAGATAAAATAAAAAATAATAATCCAATGGAAATAATTTAAACTAAAAATGAAAAAAAATTATAACATTAATTTGTGAAAAATACTAATAAAAATGACAAAAACACAACAAAATGACTAAAACTTTTTAAAATTCAAATGAAAACAGATAAAAAGTAATTCAAAATATTAATGTTAAAAGAACAAAATAAAATAGAAAATAAAAATAATGAATCTTCTGGAAATAATTTCATGTATTAATTTATTACTGTAATTAATAATAATTACATAACATTTCTTCTTCTTATTAATAATAATGATAATAATAATAAAGTTCTTATTCAGCTGTTTTCATTACGCTGATTCTGTCTGAAGCTTCATGTTAAAGGGGTCATCGGATGCTACATGCACTTTTACAAGTTGTTTGAACTGAAATGTGTGTTGGCAGTGTGTGTACACAACCACCCTATAATGATAAAAATCCACCCAGTGTTTTTTTTTTAATCTGGTTAAATGTTTTCCCCTTTCTCAAATCGAGCCGATCTCAGATGCCTGTCTGTGTGACGTCACACAGACAGGCCCCTCCCACAATAGTTTGATTGACAG